ATCAGAATGGTTAACCTGCAATGTGATCCCTAGGGCTCCAACTACTCTGAAGCTCTTCATTGGCTCAGGTTGAGTGTCTATGTTTGTATAGTTGGTCCGTGTCGCGCGTGTGCCTCCTCAGGTGTTGATCAACATCTACCGCGCAGAGAACCTCGCGAAGATCTCCGGTGCCAATCCCAACCCTTTCGCCGCTCGATCGATACTTTTGCTCGTTTTCGCGTGAGCCGCGAGACTTGGAATAGAGAGGAGGCCCCCCAAAGCCATACTTGGATGAGGGAAGGCAATTTAAACTTGGATAACCCATCTCGTTACTAGTTCCTTAAATCTGAGATCACCAGACGTCAATAAATATATTGTAACATAGTAACATAGCTTGTAAAGGTGATTTCACCTCTGCAACATGGGGTCCCTTCTCCTTCTATCTTCCATGTTTCCATGCAGGAATGGTCATCGATCATTAAGGTTTTGTGATCCAGAACGCCGTTTGACATACTGGAAGTACCGTGGAATCACCACCGACTCTTCCCGTAGAACACCGACTCTTTTAGGGGTTCCGGTACGTGCCGCGGACATCGGGACATCGGGACCGGGTGTATCGGGTCTTGTTCACTTCACTTCTTGGAGACCGCATGAGACGATATGTCTGTATTATTGTGCTGTTGCACCAAAATGAGACCGCATGAGACCTCCTTTGTATCCCCCTTTGGTTGCAAAACATCGGAAGCACAAGCCCTTTTTTGTGTGTCTCTTTTCCCCACGCCATGGGACTGGAAAAAGAAACATGTACTGTATATATATATATATGATTATATGATATATGAATATATATATATATATGAATTATATATTTATATATACATCATGCTGTAACTTATACATTGACCCCTGAAATCAATCACCCATTGCCTTGTCTCGTTTTGGCTATGCCAGTGCCAGACAGGTCGTGTTTGAGGCATGAACCTAAGCTTAAGCCTCGTGGGGCCAAGCTTGGATAAGCCTCGCTTTGGCGAGACGGGGTTCCCGTTTCCCCCCAAGGGCCGGTCAAAAGCTAGCTGAGGAAGTCAGCTCTGTGGATGTCCGACTCCCGAACCGACCCACGAAATCACTCCACTGCAGGTGACAGTGGAGTTCGCAGGTGCGTGCGTGAGCCATGGAATAGATGCAAAGGTGGATGAGGGGTGCCGGCTTTAAGGTAACACGTCAGCTAATCCAAAGTTGGATGGTTTATGATGGTTCTGTCTATGGCTGAAAAAGGATGAGAAAGGTAACCTTTGGTGAAAGAAAAGAAGGTCCCAACACTCTTCCATCCCTTGGAGAACATCCCAGAACCATTTGTCCCAGGTCGTTGGTAGTTCGATGATGTCCCACAGAGGTCCATAGGGAGGTGCCTGGAGCAACTCCGACGGAGAGGCTGTTGGCTATTTGGTAAGTCTTGAACCTTTCGGTCGAGATTGAAGAGTCACTAAATGTTCAGGGGGGGCCTATTGAACATGTGTATTGGTATTTGTTTTGTTTTGGTTTGTCAAGGACCTCTATGTTCAGAAAACATATCATGGAATAAGCGGTAAACATGTACCAGCACAGAACCACTTTTTGGTAGGGAACGAAAGGAAGCAGGAGTATATTGATCACAATACATGCACAAGCATATCTATCGATTTGTGCAATCTGGTCGCATCAACCAATTGAGAACAGCACAAACAAGTTCTTTCTCGTTGGCTCCTTGCTTCAGCTTGGAGACTTGTTTCCTCCCAAGCCGAGGTCCTGGCCAGTCAGTGACATTTAGTTTGGTCCCCCCTTTGGCATCTACCATGTCTATGAAGAGCTCTTTTGTATGATAATTACTTTCATTGATTGTTTGTTTCACTGGTTCTCAGGGTGTGATACAACTCCGGTTTCTGTGAGCCACTCAGGAGAACCACCCCTGCATATGACGTGGAGCAATACACCTGGAACGAGTGTGCACGGATTCCGGTGCAGACGCCAGCGCCATGGATGCAAGCTGGATTAGCTGGATTAGGAAGCAGGATCGAATCATGAAATGGCCAAGCTGCTTAGCTAAATATTCAACATTAATCTCTTCGATCCGGGATCTTACCCCCCAAGGATCGAAGATGAACAGATCCAGCTCGCCCAGCGCTTGTTTGAATCATGAGCGAAGCGGATGAACTTCATTGAGTACAGTTAGGACTTCACGCAGAATGGTAGACCCCTGAGACCAAGCAGGCCTTGCCCAAGTCCCTGTTTCCACGTGAGTTCCTTTGCATGTCTTGTCCGGTTTGGACCAACCCTCAACAGCTGAAGGTGACGTAACCAACTCCCTTTAGCGTGGCGGTGTGTAAGTTGTGTCCCAAGTGGTCATTGTTGCCTGTCCTCTTGTTCAACTCATGTGTTTATCCTCAAATTGACCACTTGGGAGTTGTTTATCCTCTTGTTCTACCCAAGTGTGGCGGTGTGTAAATTGTATCCTCAAATTGCTGTTGTTGAACTAGCATGATTTTTTGGACATGTGATCCCCAAAAGCCATGTGATCCCCAAAAGCGGTGCCTGTTCAGAGAGGGTGAGAAGCGGCTTCCCATACCTTTTTGGTGGGTATCTACTGTTCTACCTACTTGGGGGTCTATAGCTCTAGGGCCCCATAACTATTCTGAAGCTCGACTCCAAAAGGCGCACGTGGCCCGTGCGCCACGTGCACTGCCGGACCTGTTTGGGTACGGGATCGACCCCGCTGGACTGGACCCAGGCGATCGAATTTGGGTGGACCTGGAAGGAATACCCAGACTGGAATGATCAGTAACATCAGTACACCTGGAGACAAGGCTTGCCAAGTGGGAAAGGGATGTCTATCCCCCCCCCTCGCCAAGAACTCATGTTGGAGACAGGATCACCCTTGGAGTGGGGGGTCTTCTGGTGGTTGGGTTCACCCAGCAAGAGCAGACCTGTGGCCTTTCAGGTCTACGAGGACACCATCCTCATCAAGCCGCCTAGTTGAGCGGGATTGCTGAAATGGTGGCAAGGGGTAGGCAGAAATCGGGATTTTGGATTTCCCATGTGATTCCGCTCCTTTAGCAGTTGGGGTTATGATGATCAAGAATCACGATTGCTGAAAAACATGTTTTCGGCAACCACTGGTTTTCTTTTAACGCACATTAATTAGGGTTTTGCAGTTTTCCTTTCGGCATGAGCCATGAGCCATGTTGCAACTCCTTGGGTTGCTGAACTATTTATGGTTGGGGTTCATCAAGGATATATACTGCATACGTTGTTCAGTCTGGAAAGCCTCCTACGTACTTTTTGTCGATGTCGATTGCATTGAAGTCTGGACATCTACAAAAGAGCAGGCCAAGACCATAATAGAACCTCCTAGAACAATTCTACTCATGTTACTCAATTGAAACGCAAACGATCCGCACAAAGGATGTCGCTGCCGGGCATTTATTGAAGGATGAACAAAATTCCAGTTACATTGATGTGCTACAAATCGCTACAAATATGTGCAGATGTTCAATAAAAACATTGAACAAATTGGAATAATTAAGGATCTTGATGAAGGAATGCCGGAGGAAACGCAATCGTTGAATATGGTAACTATGGCTTTCAAAGCACCTTCACAACTGAGAATGTGTTATAAGTTTTTAGCGCAGCAGAAGAACACATCTATTTAGAGTTTTAGAATGTAATCAAGCAACCTGGCCCAGCTTAGAAGGCCGACCAATATGGAATTGTTGACATGTATGTGAAGATCGACGGAACCTCCTAAGCCTCATCAACAACTGGTGGCAAAGTAGACAAGCGCCCCCAAGCTCTTTGTTCGACGGATCTTTGTTCAAGAACGGAATCATGCCCATATATGATCTCTTCAAAGTCGCCTTCCACAAAGTGATGATGCAGGTCGCTATGCAAGAGTATCATCCGAATGTGTGAAACGCAATAGCCTCACCCACCCAACAGCCTCATCCCAAGTGTTTGGGTTCCTTTTTTGTGTTTTCGCATGCTGCTGTAGCAGCCACACAGAAGAACCACTGTGACAACGGATTCGGAATCACATAGATCCACTACCCCTCCTTTGTGTCCGTATGTCCCGGTCGGGATCCTACGGACTCTCCAGAGCGGCCGCCTGGTCACCAGACATGGATGGAAGAGTTACTTAATATACATGGACTATGGATCATTCAAGCAACGTAACTGCATGTATGATCACAATTAGTTTATACCTGTACCTGTCAGTGGATCATAAATTCTGTGACACTCCGTGGGGCTGGAAAATACCCCGCCCCAAAGATATAATTGCATGCCAGTTCCATGGAGTGCTTGCGACAGGAGAAATGTAGAACTATTGCGGTCCCATTTTCTGCCTAGGTTGGTGAACAACCTGTACATAACAACTTAACCTCACAACGTGGACCGGGAACCCACGTGGACTGGTCCTTATACCAGTCGTCCACCCGAATCGACCGACCCGGAGCCCCAATCCGGGCGGAACGGCCGTCACCGGTGAGGCTTTGGAGCGGAGGATCGGCGCTGACCATGACACCGGATGCCTGGCCACGCGCGCGGGGGTAAGGGAGCCACCGGGGCTATGGCGGAAGTTCCAGTGGTGGCCGGAATGCTGTAATCATACCGTTTGGATAGTAGTTTATGAGGTGTAGGATGGTGTAGGCGGTTTTCAGCCCCTGATCAAGTCCCTGACCCCTTGAAGGGTGAAACTGGAACCTGAGCAAAATCTGGATGTGTACCAGTAGGTTGAGATGGCTGAATTTAGCCAGGAACTAGAGTCTTGGGGCTTCCAGAGCCCAGAGGGAGCAATTGAGCTACACTAGATTTGTAAGTTGGCATTCCTGCTGATGCACTTGGGGCTGCTGAAAGTCCACGTTCACCCCGTACGTTCACCCTGTTCTTTGACCGCTTGTTGATTTACAGTGAAGGAGCACGCCTGTACCCACTCACAAGGTCAAGGGAGGACTGAAGACATCAATTTAAGCAATCACATTTGATGCCGAAGTGCTCCGATGAAGCGATCTCCATTTTTGTTTATCATCATGACATGATATGAGATGGAGATCTTTATGTTTTTCATAATATACATTATGTGAACAACCATGGAGTATGAGGCTGCTATGCTAACCAAAGAGGCCCCTGAACACCAACCTTACCGTTTGCTTCGCTGGTCAGTTGAAGCCAACCTGCAGCTGTCCGGCTGGTCACCGGCGGTTAGACCGGGTGGACCGTTGGGTTGCTACCGTGGCGCTCAGGACACCTTGCTGGCTCAAGGGCTGATCTCCTTTAGCGAGCTACGTCTCTCAAACTCAAAAATGTTTTTGCACACATGTGTTGGATGTGCTGTGTTGGGTGAGACGCCTGGGTTGGGTGAGACGCCTGGGTTGGGTGAGACGCCTGGG